CATCCAGCCTCTGTTTCAAAGTCTCTAAAGAAGGAGCTCCCTCCATACTTGAAGAGAGAGTTCCACCATTGAACAGTTCTTATTGTTAGGAAGCTTTTTTCCCCTGTAATTTGAACCCATTGCTCTGAGTCCTAGTCTCCAGAAAGCTTGCTATTTCCTCCTTATGCAATCCTTTGAAATATACTTAAATATAAACATGCCAATAGTGTATTCTGCAGTTTCTGCAATTTCATCTGTGGGCGCTTTCAGACAGTGGGTTTAAAACAAAAGACAAAAAATCCCAGAACCTAAGAACATGTCCCCACACAGACCTATTAGAGTTCTTTTTGGATGTTGGAATACCTGTATTGGCAAATATACAGGTGTTCCATTCTTCTCCAATATCTTGGAGAAAGGACTTAAGTCTAAACACAAAATTCATTGATTTGTTATATCTCAAATGGAAGCTTGGTCCTGTGGCTTTGAAATTCTACCATGTCCCTCTTGTTCACCTGACCTCGCACCATCGGGCTTCCACCTCGTTCCAACAATGAAGTTATTTTTGAAGGGCAAGTTTTTTTCAGATGATGAGACTCTGATTTCCGAAGTCACAAGGTGGCTTTTGGAGCAACCTGTCAACTTCTACAAGTGAGCTGTTTACCGTTGCTTAAAAAAATGAGAGAAGTGTGTGTCTCTAGGTGGCACCTATGTAGAGAAGGACTAATAACTGTGCCAAGTTTCATTGCTCTCAGATCACAGGAAATGGATCAGGGGAAATCTTTAATGAACGCCCATCGTAGATTTTTTTCCCCAAAAAATTATCTACTTAACCTTTCAAAGATGCTAAATAAAGATGATGTTTAGTCATAGCAATTTTTCTCTCTGCAATTATTTACTTATCATAATTATAGCCACTGAACATTTAAGGGCAATCTATATTTCTAATTAGATTACTTGAGTTGTGTGTGTAGTTTCAAGTCATTCCAGATTCATAGGGATCGATCAGTGTCAATATAGTTCAACAGAACTCCGAATATATAAAATATGTATCATCTCAAACCTTTTTGAAATGAGGGGCTAAATCAAATGAACTGTTGTTTTATATACTGACATTTTTCCTGCATTCATGCATGAAGAGCGGCTCCACATTGCCATTTATATTGTAATATAATATATTTACATGATTAAACACAAATGGAACTATATAGGCAAAAGCTATGGCTAGAGAGACTCTTAATCTACTATACATTCTACAGCTCTATTTTTCATTTATGGCAGTAAATTCATAGTCACAATTACAATCTCATGTGACTTTTGAACAAACTCAGCTCAAATAAGTATGCAAAATATAAAATTATAGGTTTGTTGCAATGAAACAGGTGGGAACTATGTACTTCTGTAGATGTTGTTTGATTGAAACTAACATCAGTCTTACCCAATACAGTTTGCCCTCTATGTCCATAGGCTCAACCATATGCAGCTCAAAAATACCCAGGGAGGGGAGGGACCTTCCCATAGATCCTTATATAAATATGATGTTTTACTACACCATTGCATTAATGGAACTTGTGCACCCATGGATTTTCATATCCATGAGGCATTCTAGAACCAAACCCTACTGCAGTGACCGCAAACCCTTTTGAGATCAAATGCCCAAACCAGGGGTAGGGGTGGAGACTCAGTGGGTAGTTAGCAAGGGTGGGGCAAGTGAGCGGAAGAGTGGGAGGTGGGCGGGAGGGCAGGCAAGGGGCAGGCAAGTGTGGGGGTGGGTGAGTGAATGGATGAACAGGCAAGTGACTGGGGGCAGGATAGCAAGTGATTGAGGGGCAGGCAACAGCGCATGTGCCAGGAGAGAGGGTGCTGCATGCCCCTTCTTGCACATGTGCCATCAGTTCGCCACCAGCACCCAGTGGATGCAGGAGCACAGTGAGAGATGATGCTAATTGAAGTCCAACATCTGCTTGAGGACCACATGTTGCTCATTTTGGATACCAAATGTCCATAATGTCCAGTTGCCTTCCAAAAGTTCTATCCACTTAAGGGTTTGCTAGGCAATAGTTCACAAACTGTGGTCCACAGGATGCATATTCACTTTAATAATGAGAAAAGTATATAGCATGTTAGGAAAACATGCTTGGCTGTCCAGAGTGTATGAGTCTACACTGCCATGTAATCCTGTTAAATGTAGTTAAACTGCATTCTGGAACTACATTATAGGACAGTGTAAATGAGGTCTAAGATTACAGAGTTTCTCCACTCCAGAAGGGAGTGTGTTCATATGTTTCTTTCCACCAGGTAGGAGGTTTGAAATCAAGTGTATGTCACCATAGAATGAATAAATCTAATATTCTTTTACTGTGGTTGACCTTTGATTTCTACCCTGAGGTAAAATTATTCTACCTTGTTTCCACTTCATTTTTTATGTTCAGGTTGTTTTACATGAAAAGCATACAATATTTATGGGATTTTTTTAGAGATGAAAGTTGGAGAATTTATCCATCTTGTTGAATTTCAGAGATGATTAAAATCTAACAGTAAGATGTACTACTTCATACTTTCATATATTTTGTTTTTAAGTCCTGCAATGCCACACATTGGCCATACTATCTGGGAACAATGGTGGTTATAGTCCATATAACTGGTGAGCTATCAGTTGATAAAAAGTATTTATTATTGTTGTAAAATAGATTGGAACAAGCAACCATTTATATCTAAGAGAAAATAATATTTCTAAAAACCCTGTTGGATTGAAAAAGATTAGGCAGAACAGTTTGATTATTAATACTAGTGCCTCAAATCTTATAGAATATATATTTTAAAATACGGCTAGAATTTTTACTTTTATTATGATATGATTCCCTTATCCTTAAACCGATGGTTTGTTTAGGGATAAGGGAATCATATCATAATATGTACATGCAGCAAAAGCAACAAAGGCTATCACATATACATGGATACACATTTACTGAATTGGTCAGAAAGAGACCCAATGAACTTAAGGAACTCATCTTTCTTAGTATTGTCAATTAATAATATCATATTTCAATTTTGTTGAAGGAGCAAAACATTCTGAATCCATTTTCAGTTAGAATTATAGGCATCCCATAATATTTGTGAAGTTTGTTGGCATAAGCATGAGGATTATATAATTTTTTCCTTTTTAGACTGTAGTCAAGAATCTGCAAGCCTTGTCAATGGAACATAGTAGTTTGGGAATTCCTTGAGTTATGGTCCAGAAAGTAAGGCCTCCAAAATCTGGATCATAGTAACACATTTCAGTTCTCATGAACTGTTTACATTGTAAGCAGCAAATCATTGAATCAGTGATTCACTTCTCCATCATGTTCAGGTTTTTTCAAAATTTGTTTTGACTATTTTTTTTGTAATATGTGACTGAGTAAAGATTTTTTGGGGAATAAAGCATAAATAGTAATAAAGAGATTAATAAGCTTTCAAAGCAATTTTATGTGCTGATAGGAAACCCCCAAATCCATTCAAAAGTGCTAAAAAATATCACACTGAAACATCAGGATCTGCAGCGTAATCAATACTCAGTAACTAAATTGATAAAATACATTAAATTTATGAAAGAACTGTGTATGGTACAAGATTTGTATCATGTTTTTCAAATTCAGTACCCACAAATACATTAAAAGCAGTAACAATATTGGGGAAAACATGTTATTAATATCCTTAAAGTAAGCCTCATTGAATTCAGTGGGGCTCACTTTTGAGTAGGCTAAAGTCTAAGGTTCAGGTCAAGTTGCTAGAGTCAGATCATTATGAAATAAAAACACTACTTCTGTTACAAAAGAAATTAAAGAGAAATGGGCAAATTATATGAAATGGATAGAAGAAGGTGAAGCCAGCATAGATATTGTACAAAGATTTAAAAGGTTGTGTTTGTGGTTAAAAATAAAGATATATAGAGAAAAATGGTGGAAGGGGTAGGGAAGGGTGGTGGGAGGAGAAAAAAATAAAAATGTAACATGAATGAATCTGTAGGGAATGCGAATAGATAATATAGAAATATGTTATCATAATGTAAGCCTACAATAGACAGTTATTATCTGTTCAAATATGTCATTTTATTTTCAATTTTTTTAAAAAAAGCACTACTTTTGTTACAATTCTACTTGGCCTCGTTGTGTATCATTTTCATTCTCTGTTTCCATGTATAAAATTTTAAAATACAAAACAACAATGGTTCAATAGGTATTTGGACCAAGGAAGAGAAAATGTAAGAAAACTCTCTCTTTATTTGTTTTATTTATTATTAAACCAGGCCCTCAGTCTCTGTTTGAGTTTGATTTCATTGATGAGTCCACACCAGTGTAGCACTCAGTAAACAGTAAAATCAGGGTTTGGGTTTTTTTATCCCCCCCCCCCCCCCCGGGCGGGATATATTTGAGCCATCACTGGTTGAAATTCGATGCAGAACCTGTGAATACAACTGTACCATTCTTTAGGTGGGAAATGTGAAAACTATCTGTCAGTTTATATGAGTGGATACAGCTGTGTGCTTCAAAGAAATTGTTATTCATTATGCAATGTTTACAATATGTAATATACTGTGCAATTATTTGTTATTCTTTTTTATACTTAGAAAACTATTTATCCTGTAGTGCAGAAGAACACATTTATATTTCACAACTTATTCATACTATTATCTTGTTTTTCTTTTTAGTGTTTCCTCTTTTGTGGTAGGCCAACATTAACAAATCATTCCACTCAGGTTTGCTAAGAATAAATGATTTAACCCACCCCTTGAGCATTTAGCATAAAGAGAAATGTTGATGACTGTGTCCAGGAAAATGAATTCCAAATTTGATTGCTGTAACTTTCAAAAAGACTTCTTATTTCTAGAATTGTAAAATGAACATAATATTATTATAATAAATAAGATGCCGCAAAATTGCATGTTTTGTACTTTGTAAAAATAGCAGGTTTGTGCATGGATCCTCACTCTCCCTTTCATTGTCATCGGTGTTTATTACAGTTTGTGTTTGGTTTCCATGCAGGTGGTCGACCAGATTGATACACTGACTTCTGATCTTCAGTTGGAGGATGAGATGACGGACAGCTCAAAAACAGACACATTGAACAGCAGCTCAAGTAGCACAACAGCGTCAAGCTTGGAAAAAATCAAGGTGCGAGCCAACGCACAACTCATCAAGCCCCCAGCCCACCCATCTGCCATTCTTACAGTTCTAAGGAAACCCAATCCCCCACCTCCTCCTCCACGGCTGACTCCTGTGAAGTGTGAGGACTCACAGCGGCCAGTTATTCCTCCCAACCCTGTAAAGACTAATGGGACTTTACTACGAAATGGAGGTTTGCCAGGTGGACCAAATAAAATTCCAAATGGGGATATATGTTGTATATCTAACAGTAACTTGGACAAAGTTCCAATGCAACCTATGATGCACAGACCTGAAAAAGACAGGTGTCCTCAGACTGGAACACGGGAACGGGTACGATTTAATGAAAAGGTGCAGTACCATGGCTATTGTGCGGATTGTGATGTTCGATACAATATCAAAAACAGGGAGGTTCACTTGCACAGTGAACCTCCTCATGTGCCGGGAAAGCTTCCTCACCAATGTCCTCCCTTACCACCACCACCACCTCCACTGCCTCCTTTTCCACTAGAAAATGGAGGGATGGGAATAAGTCCCAGTAGTAGCTTTCCCCCTCTCAGACCTGCAACTGTGCCTCCTCCACAAACTGCACCAAAACCCCAGAAGACTATCTTGAGAAAGTCAACCACTACAACAGTGTGATGTTATCCCATTTGGAAAACTGTTTTTTTTCCCTTATGTATAAACATAAAAAGGTAATGAGCACTTTCTACTCAAGCAATAAAAAGCCCAAATATATTGCACCCTTTCTTCTATGAAGTGGCGTAAAAATCATGTGGTAAGTAAAGAGAGTGACAGCATTGTTTAATGTTGGTTGATGCACGTGTTACCAAATGTCATGTTTAAAAGTCAATATATTCATTGGGCAACAGGCAGAGCACGCCGGTTATTGATGAGGGTAGTGCAGTAGCAATCATTAATGAGGGAAAATATTTTTCAAAAGACAATAGAGGTTGAGTGTCTCTTATCTGGAAATCTGAAATCCAAAATATTCCAAAACTGTCCAAGTGGATGACTGAGATAATGGCCCCTTTGCTTTTTGATAGTTTAATGTAGACAAATTTTGTTTCATACCCAAAATTAGGAAAAAATATTTTTCAGACTATGTGTATAAGGTATATGTGAAACTGAAGACCGACAGGTTGGAAGTTCAAATCCAGGGAAAGTGCAGATGAGCTCCCTCTGTCAGCTCCAGCTCCCCATGTGGGGACATAAGGGAAGCCTCCCACAAGGATGGTAAAACATCAAAACATCTGGGCTTCCCCTAGACAATGTCCTTGCAGATGGCCAATTCTCTCACACCAGAAGCAACTTGCAGTTTCTCAAGTCGCTTCTGATACAAAAAAATTGCAATACAGATATTTCAAAATATTACAAACATCTAAAATCCAGAATAATTTTGACCCCAGCATTTTGAATAAAGGAAACTCAACCTGTAATTTGTTCAACATAATACATTTTTATACTATAGTGTATTTTTAAAATGCAAAGGAAATGTGTAACAGAAGCAAATAAATGTCCTGGAATATTGTATTGTAAAACCATGCTTGACAGCCGACAATACTTATATTCAGAATCTTTAGTGAAAAGAAATATATATTTTTATACTGGTATTCTTGAAGTAAAACACTGTGTGTTATATCAACTCTGTGTTGCATCATTGCATTTTCAACCTTAGAAGCTAAACCAAGTCATATACCTTTTCACAAGAGGATTGTGTTTCTCAGGTGTTTCCAACTTGCCATTAAAAAAAACCTCTCCACTTGGGTTACAATTTCCGAATTTGGATACATGTCTTTCATGCCTGTTCTAGGGGGTTACAGACTCTTCTGGGGGGGGGGAGGGGGGCAGAATGGTTGTCTACTTGTATTCGTTCTGTTGGTAGGCAAAGAATAAAAATGGCCAGTTTTCAGAACTTAGTGCTTTTAATGAGAAGACTTTTATTATAGACTTCTATACTATACTACATTTATTGGTATTATTTTTGAGTATTTTTGATGGATTAATTGCATCTTAATTAAACCCCTCATATGATTAAGTTAAATTGAGTTCTTTTAATTTGTTAGCTATCTCAAATCTTGGTTTTGTGAAGGGAAGTGGGACAGAAATAAAGTTGTTGTTTAAAGTTGTTGATACTATTACTACTACTTCCCATTGTGTTCAGTGGAGGTTGTTTCTAACAATGTAGCTCACTTTTATGTAGAGGGCTGTGTCAGCTAACGTCCAGTTCCTCCTGGGATTTAGTTGTCACCCCTAACCCAAATCCTGGGCTTTCCCTCGGGCGGTTGGCTGGGGGAGGGTACCCAGCTACCCACAAGCCCCCCCCCATTTCCACCCAGAAACTTACCTGATGAGCCTGCTGCCAGTGCAGACCCCTACAGAGAACTCTGCTGTCATTCGAAAATAACGTATCAGGAAGTGGAGGGGATAGAGGAGGGAAATCCCTCCCCCACCTCCTGATGCCTCATTATTGTGCATCAGGGGAGCTCTCTTGAGGGGCCTGCACTGCTGAAAGGCCCCTCAGGTAAGTTTTGGGTGGGGAGCTGGGAGGGGAGAGGAGAAGGCATCTTGCTCCTTTAGGCTCTTAGAGTCCAAAGGACTGGGATTGTTTTGGGAATTGAACTAGGGACTTCAGAATCAGTCCTGGAAGTAAGATCCCACAGAGCCCTTACCTGGAAAGATCCATACCTTAGCTTAAGGTCCAGCTCTTTCCAGGTATTTTATTAAGCTGGAGCAAACAGGGAAATCCCAGTTTTCTTTGGATTAATTTGGTTTTACCTGAGGTGTCATTTGGATGCCTCAAGTAAAACCAAGACAGGTCCCGTGTTTTGGACATGTCTGGAAGGGCTCAAAGTATAAGCTATCATCAAAGGAATTTTTGTGTATGTGCACAGCTTGAATAATAACTTTGCACATATTTATGTAGAAAATGGTTTTCAGGATACAGATTCATACAGACGTCTTCAATGACATCCAAAGAGTTAAACTTAAATAAGGCAACAATTTTGTAAAACAGTGTTTGTACAAAGCCTATTGAGATTGATGAAGTTTCTCACCTACCTATGCTACATTATAGTCTCAAAGTGTCAACTTTTGGAGCTCCATAAGTTAAGCCAATGTTTTATACCAGTGCAACCAGATGTGACTTGCCTGTTTTTATTCTGCAACTCTTGTTATGTCCTAGCGAGTATAAACTATGATAGGAGATGCTGGGAGTTGCAGCAAAACAATATTTTGTAGATCACCATAGGTACTCATCATTTTATATCATTATTATGTTCTCATTCTCTGATATTTAATTTGTCTTCACATACACCCAACTCATATATAATATTAGCTTTTAAATAATTCTTACTGTTTTGGGTTTTTGTTTTGTATTTTTCTGCCTTAATAGAGTATTGTTACTCAATGTTTGATCCATGTGTGATATATGATAGTACCTATCTTTAACATTCATCAATTCATGACCTCACAAAAGTTATAGTTTACACTTTTGACAAGATTTTGATAGATTATAGTTAAAACTAGGCAATGATGAAATATACAGGGCAGTTCATTGCATTCACTTATCTGGCATTCCAGAATCCTACTTCCTCCTTGGATCCCTATCTCCTAAGAATTCAATTCACCCAATTAATTTAATCCCAAATTATACCATGATTAGGGAGTAGATAGTTATTCTGCATTGTAAGGAAGGCCAGTAGTGTGCAGGAAAATATTGGCTAATTAGATATTTGTTTTAATATGTTCATATGTAAAATATGATACTTTATATACTCATAGATATTTTATTTACTATAGAGATAACAGTAAGGGGCTTTACCTCCCTCTTCTTACACCAGCTGAAGGAAAACCCCTAAAGCCAGCATGGTTGGGGAGCCATCTTCATATGCCTTGAATTCCTCCCAATTGCAGTAGGCACTGAGTTTTCCATACTCAGGTTCTAGAAATCAGACTTCTCTATCCTGCTCCAGAACCTCAAATATGCATTGCTCATGAGTTTTTTTTCTTAAATGATAAAAAAATATAATCTGTCCAGCAGGCCCGCAAGAAGCAGTTGAGATTAATGATGGAATGAATCATATACAGTTGCAGTTCCTATATGAAGAAAGCATGAGCTGATACCTTTATCAGTAAAGAAAAACATTGCTGCTATGTGTTCTGGGGTTTTCAAAGCAAAAGGTAGTGGTATAGTAATTTGACTGTTAGATTAGTGCTGTGGAGGCGAGTTTTCAGTCTCCACTGGGTGACTTTCTCAGAGCAAGGGAAAATGTCTTCTGAACCAATCTCGCCAAGAAAAACCCATGATAGATTTGCCTTAGGGGTTCTCATAAAATACAAATGATTTGAACATTCACAACAACAACATTCGTAGTTCTCATCATATGACAAATTCAGATTTAGATAATCCATGCAGAATCAAAAACTATTTAAGCACTTTTTAAGCACAATAATATCTACATTCAAGGAGAAGATTAAAGGATTGTTTATATCATCTGCTGGAAGGTTCAGTTTAACTAGATCATGTCACGAATACAGAATGGGTTTGGCAAAGTTGACTATAGCTCAAAAATGAAAGATATTTGAATATTATCAATATAGAATTAAAAACAATTTATAATATTTTATTGTTTAATATAAAAGAATTTAAAGGAACATGACCATTTGAGTAGTAATATTTTCCCAAAAATAATACAACTGCTTAATAATTTTAGGTTAAGTGCATCATTTAGAGCACTTAAAGTTAGGGTGCAATTAATGTTTCTGTCATGGAGCCTTAAAAGGATTATAATCTCCACTCATTATATATTGGAACCTTCAGTTTTCAGAATCAATTAGAATAGAATTTGTACTTGTATAATTTAATGTAGAGACCACCGTATCTGAGCGACAGAAGTGCACAATGATGTAGCTCATAAAAAATTCAGCAACATTTCTATCTTAGTTGTGTATCTGATAATGATGGATAATCTCTGTTGGTTTGATTTAGAATTGGCTCAGTGTTTAGGAGCTTTAGTTGCAACCCTGCAGGAAAAGGTCATCTGTTTTCCAAGAGTTTTCTCCCATACCATTAAGTTTGCTACAATTATGAGAATTTCTGACTTGTTTCTTGGAATTATAGTTTGTGCTTGTTACCACATCCATAATTTAAATTGTAGCAGAAATCCATACTGCAATACCAGGATTCAGATATTCTACCAGTTTTTTTTTTCAATTCGGCAGTGTATTGCTTCACAAGCTTAAAGAGAACATGGCAAGAGATCTCTAAATTTATGGAGTTTCTGGATTCATATAATATAATATAATATAGAAATTGGTTCTACCTATGCTATAAAATGAATTCTTAACTTTTCAGTACAGAATTTAGAGAAAGGAATCAATAAGACTAGGAAGTATTGTATGTACATAAATGCCCCGTATGTCTATAAAAATCTCAGGATGGTGGTGTGGTTATTAAGTGTGGCAGAATGTGGGAAGTGCTACCCTATATGGCTAATCCACAAATTAGATGCAGTGATTTGAATGGCTCTTCAACTAAAAAATGAAGGATAATCTTTATCCCACTGAATTGAGAGACACAAGGTACTGATCCATTATTTCAAGATGGGAAATAATGTCCTGTATTCTCTTTCTTGCTTTCTCCTTACACACACCTCCAAACAATGTCTTCTGCAATGTATTGTGCAAACCATTTGTATGTTTATTGTACTTTCATGACCTGTGACACAAATTGTTTGTATAAGCTTGTTGATTACTCTTTTATCAAATGCTTTTGGAAGCTTGAGAATTTGCATAGGGAGATGTCATAGAATCTACCTGTTGAATGTTGAGCCATATCAAAAGGCAAAAGGACTAATGCAGTTCTGGGTCTCGTGTGTGTGTGTGCAACTTTAAAATGTTATCTCTCTATCATTTCAAATGGCTATCATGTGTTTAATAGGCAGACATACACACACAGTTCAGCCAGATTTCAAGCTGTTTTTAAAACAACTTTTTAATGTTGTTGTTAGCCAGGTAACATGAGAAGTGGAAAGGGAATGGAAATCTCAGCACTCTTACAAGTATAGTGTTATACAGTTGTTTGAATTAAAACTATTGTACACAGAATGGTAATATAAGATACTGTAATAGTATAACAAAAGTGCCCCCCCCCCCCGGATCTTGATTTGCAGTGACCACAAGTCGTTGTGTCCCATATTATTAAAGGGCAGCAATATGAATGCAGACAAAGCATGTTTACATCAGACAAAGCATGTTCACATTACCACAATTTAATAATGTGGGTCATGATCATCCTTGTGAGTATATGTTTTTTGTAACCATGGTAGGATACAGCTGTAGAATAGAATAGCTTTATTTGTCATTGTGCTATTACACAATGAAGTGACATGCCTTCCCCCGCGCATGCCACAAAACAATACATATATCTCTCCACACACCCCCTCACCACCACCCAGCACCCAATGCCACATCACTGTGAAACCATGAAGTTCAACATAGCCACAGCTCTAGAATAAAAGCTATCCTTCAGTCTGTCCTTGTCTTTATCACCCTGTACCATCTGCCAGATGGCAATAATTCAAAAAATAATATGTCAGGTGAGATGGATCCCCAAGAATGCCCTGACCTTTCTTAAGGCAGCGGGAATTATAAAGTTCTTCCAAACAAGGGAGAGGGCAACTAATGATTCACTGTGCAGAAGTATTAACCCTTTTGAGTGTTATAAACCTGATATGAGCAAAAAGAAGCAGGGAGACCAAATTTGGTTTTATCACTATGCATGTAACATTTATTTGAAATAAGACATTACATTTAATTCAGTATCAAGAGTTCTCAATCTCTCACACAAGTATTCACCATACTCACAACAGACCTCAGTCTTTTGCAGATGGTCAGATGTTCCGTGATCGCAGTTCAGGAGAGGTGATGCATGCAGGCAACCCCTGTCTTCTTATAGTCTGTTAAGAATTGCCTGCGTTCATCACATCTCCAGAACCATGGCAACGGAACGTCCGACCCTTTTCAAAAGCCTGTTGTGAGTATGATGACGAATGATTGTGAGTGTGATTGAGAACTCTTGATACTTATAGATGTTATGTGATTGATACTCAATAAATGTTACATGAAGAGTTTTTAAAATCAAATTTGGTCTCCCTGTTTCTTTTTGCTCATATCATAGGGAATCCTCCCCTTATTTCTCTCTGGGTCAAAAAACATCAGGTGCAAGTAACAAACCATACATAAATGCAGTAGGTTAGGACACGCTCTATAGCCATAGCGATAGAAAGTCACCAGCAGTTTTTCGTTCAGTTGGTGGTTCCTTAGGAGTCTCAGTACTATCTCTGCTGGGCCCTCCTGACCAACGCTACCATATGGGTGCCCCAGGTACTCAGTATATATACTGCTGGGGATGGCAGTGTTCCTTTGATGGTAGTTATATATACTAGAATTAGAATAGACTCAAAGGTAACAGCAACTCCAATGTTTTTAATTCTTCTCTTAATCTGCATTATAAACATGTCTGATTCTCTATATTCAAAATGGGAATGTTTTTCAACTGAGACATGGATAAAATCTAGGCAGGGCTTGGGGATCCATTTCCAGCTGTCAGTAAGACTTTGAATAGTCAAAACAAAATATTTGAGGCCTTATTTAAGTCTTGGCAGGTTGAGTTCTCCAACAAACAAACAAAGCATAGCTTAGTTTTATGCAGATAGAAGTCCTAGTGAAACAGTTTTCTCACAGACTGCAAAACAGTCCCATGGAATTACTTTTAGCTGCTCTCTGTGCAGAGAATTTATAAGTTTTTCTACCTGATTTCTGAACAGAGGCCCAAACAAAAGAAGCTAGTGGGCTCAGTGGAGAGCTCCTTCATGCAGCAACTAACATGTCTGAGATTCTCATCTCTGTGAGATAATTTAAATTTTGAGCTTACTGAAGTGCAAAAATTTAAGCTGCATCATTTTTATATATTTGGAGTGGAATAAAACAGGGTCTCCCAAAATGTGTATGTGTTTGTACTTGTGTTTGGGTGGGTGTGGGCCCTTCCAGACAGGCCCAATATCCCAGGATCTGATCCCAGGTTTTCTGTTTTAAACTGTATTATATGAGTCCACACTACCAGGTATGGGATAAACAGAAAACCTGAGATCAGATCCTGGGATATAAGGCCTGTCTTGAAGGGCACTGTGTTTCAATTACTAGCTGCATCTCTGTAAGATTTCAGGTGGAGTCTTTCACATCTTTGCCTTGAGATACCAGGCAGGTGGTATGTAAATAGAACCAGGAATTAATAAAGTGATAGTAATTGTTTGTTTCAGTAATTATAATTGTATTACCACATATCAGAGGTCTATGAGGTCTATGAGGAGAGAGCAACGGTATTTATCCACCCAGTTCTTATTGCAGCATTTGTGCATCTCTTTGAAGATAAAGCACCTTTGTAAACAATGTTCCAAGATGCCAAGGCCTCTCTTGTATGTTGGTTCATAGATACAATGCTTCCATTACATTACAGAGGTGCTTTCTGCTCCAGGTTTGATAAGTCCTCCTCCCATTTCCTAATGGAATATGTGCTATGCAAATAGTTGGTTTTATACTCTTAAGAGTAACACACAAACAATGATGGAAAAGTGACGAAAGGAGAAATACTGCAGTTTTATTTTTTAAACCTCTAGTATAATTTTAGCACCAAAGACCATGATGTTGGTTGACCTGGCTTCCAGCTGGTGCTCAACCCATCCTCATTGCTGGAAAACAATGGGAATGGCAGGGATAATGGATCCAAAGCATACTGAACTGCTGTCTGAAATCCTTCTCATGTCACTTTAGAGTGAGGCCAATTTTACACACACACACACCCTATGGTCCAAGGCTTTGGATCCCACCTCCAAGGTCACTCAAGAAAGCCTCCTGTTTAATCTTACTCATTGTCCTGGATTCACCCTTAGGTCAAAACATGCCAGCCTCCATAAATGAATTTTTGATGAAAAGGATGCACATATTGACAATCTTTCTGTAATGACAGCTGAGTTTTGTTGCGAAGGAAGCAACAAACATACATGGGGCATAGGCCAATTCTCCGCTGAGTGAAATTCTTCTTTAGACCCATCAATTGGCACACCTTATGAACAAGACAATTCCTAAGACATTAAAAGACATTCTAAAAAATGGATGGGCGAGTGGGGTAGTCCAAGAAAAGATAGAGTTGGCTATATATGCAATTCCTTATATGAATGGTGATGGACCCGAATGAAGCCTACTCAGGCCACCCTAAGACCTGTCAAGCCATTGATTGGCTGGTTCAGATAGGAAACTCCTAGTGATCTGTGCAGCAGTTTAGTTGCCAGGACAAGAAAATGAAAGTCTGTCCAGAAAGTCTGTTTGTTTACAGTGCAACTAGGGATCCAGTGTAAACATGGGCTATCTAGTAAAATACTAAAAAACAAAAACAATTTATTTTAAAACAAAAAAAGGACACGCATCCTAGAGAGTTTGTAGAATATTCCATGAATTTTCTGAGGAATTTTGTGTGTTGTGTATTTCAACATGAGGGAAATATCTTTTATATCAGTACTTTTCAGGCCGTATGATGTGAGGGACCAGCAATTTTTCTTCCAGTGTGCCAGGTAACAATATCTTATTTGTGCCCATTGGCTGCAATGATTGCTTTTTTCCTGGAAATGCACAGTGGATAGGCAATGGATGACTCATGGACTGGCACCTGTCCACAAATCACCACTTTGAATAGTGCTGTTATATATCAAGGCCTTTCCTTTTAATCCTAATGGCTTTCCTTAGTGTGGCTATTTTTTTTCATTTTATCTTTTATTATACTTGAGTGTTGATGAAAATCAGGATTACTTGACAGCTTTGTATTCTTTTACTGCATGAAGTTAATTAAAAAAGAATGGAGTGAGCACTTTGGGCAATGAAAAATTAGTTAAAAGCATGTGTTCAGGCTTGGAAATTAAGAAAATAATATTTAACTGTCTTAATGTAAATATGAGGTTTCTTCAAACAGATGCATTTAAAAAAATGTCTACAAATGAGTCTGCTGACACCATGACATTTTCCATACTGCATTTAAATGAATTTCTGCTTATTCCCTCTATTCAGTCATTGAAAGAAGAAGTGCCGACTCTTTTACAACTCTTCTACGCTGACAGGTAAAAATAGGGAGGGGTTAGGCATAATGCTCATGTCAGTTCTAGCATGAGTTATGCCTCTTAATGGATTTAAAAGATTAAAACCAGGAAGAGAAAAAATATAATGGGAAAATCGCTCTATAATATTTTGGGGGAGGGAATTTAATGTTTTAATTCTAATATTCTAGGCATGGTGAATCAACCATTATCTGATTATCTGTGTGACATTTTGTGTGTGTGTAAGGAATGACTTGAGAAACTGCAAGTCGCTTCTGGTGTGTGTGACATAATAACACTAGTAATCACTCTCATGTTACAGGTAGATAGAACACTCACAAAAGTACCTAGTTACTTACATGGTAGCCATTTTGAGCATGGTAGCCATTCTGATAATAGAGGCAATGTGTCATGTCAATTTGTACACTATTTATCACCCCCATCTTCTTCTGTGGCAATAAGCTGGCATCCTTTCCCTTGAATTCCTTTTTTCCTTCCCATTATTTGTCATGGAGACTGAACAGGAGGTACTTGCTGCAAGACCAGTAGAACAAGCTTTGGTGATAGTGATACATAGATAGAAAAAAATGCATACTGAACATTGGAGTAGGTTACAGGGACATATCCAATTAGAGGTGAGAATCATGTATCATGCAGTACATGAAACAGGCACTTCTTGCCTAGCTTACCAACCACATTTTTGTTAAGTTTTTTTTAAAAAAGAGAGTTCTTGCTTTGGACCCCCCCCCCCCCAAAAAAAAGAAACAATTCTTCTCTAGCTAGAAATCTGTCTTTCCCACCTTATTTTAGCTAAAATCTGTTTTCTAAAAATACAGTGTTGATTTAAGACCATATGGAAGGTGCAGTGTATCCCTGCAGAGTTGTAGACCCCTCAGAATAACTTTTGGATACCTGGAGCTTGACCTCTTCCATTTAGGTCAAGAACTACATTGTGAAGGAGGTCCGTTATTAAACTGCTGCCACCAACTGTGACGATGACCGTTTTAATGCCACCGAATACCACCAATTGTGAAGGTGCACGTGGTAAAGCACCCACTGCCACCTTATCTATGAGGGAAGCCGGGCAACGATCAATATCAGCCTAGGAACTATTTTATAAAGGGACTGTTTCTGGCTGACTTTATTATTGCAGGCTGTTCAACTTAGAAGAAACTGTATCAGGCAAGACTTGAGGAGAACAGTAACAAGTTTATTTTAACAGCAGTATAATAAGTTTAACTGTTTCTTCAAAAGAGGCACAAATCTTGATGGATACATTGGAAAGGTTTCATGAGTAAACTCAGGCAAACACTTCATAAGGTTTCACAGCTGGCACAACAGGCTTAAACCCAGCCAAACCTTGATTCTTAATTCAGAATCAACAACCCCCTGTACCGGGTCCTTCTCTGCAACCACTTGGTCACCAATTGATTCCCTGAATCTCCACCAAGAGATTCAGTCTTTCCCTATAGCACACTGGCTACAGACACATTCCCTGAATCTCCACCAAAAGATTCAGTGTTTTCTCAGTAGCTCTCCGGCCACTGACTGGATTTTTAAAACACAGCTGCCTCTGAAGAGGCGGTTGGCTCTGCCCCTGTTGCTATGGCAACTTAGCTAACATCAAGCCACTCCCACAAAACATAACCTCCCATACTTACCATCCCTAAACCATTGTCCAAACTACACATAACCAAAGGAATAAAATTTACACATCGTCACACCTCCCAACCCATAGGGATTATTTTTGACTTTTCTACCAACTAGAATGGTCAAAAATAATTTGGATAATACCAACATCATATAACTATATACAAACCATATTTTGATCAGTTATCTAATAACACTGGTTAAGGCATCCTGGAAAGTGAGTCCGCAACAACATTGGTTCTACCTTTTACATGCTCTATATCAAAGGTATAATCTTGCAATGATAAACTCCACCGTAAAAGTTTGTTGTTGGTGCTTTTGGTGTTATCCAGCCATTTTAATGGGGCATGATCCGTTTGAAGGGTAAACCTTCTTCCCCATAAATAGGGCCGCAATTTTTGTATGGACCATATTATAGCTAGACATTCCTTTTCAATAGTAGACAAACTATATTCTCTGGGCAATAGCTTTTTACTTAAAAATAGAATAGGATGACTCTCTCCTTCTTGATCTAATTGGCTTAATACCGCCCCCAACCCAGTTTCGGATGCATCACATGTTAAAGTAAAGGGTTTATCAAAGTCTGGGGCTCTTAATACGGATCGTGAGGTTATGGCCTGTTTTATCTGGTCCATTGACCTTTGACATTCTGCAGTCCAAAGTACTTGATTAGGGCAACTCTTTCGTGTAAGATTTGTCAAAGGCACCGCTAAAGTACTAAAGGATGGGATAAATTTCCGATAATATCCTGCCAACCCAAGAAATGATCTTACTTGTTTCTTTGTCTTGGGTATTGGCCACTGATGTATGGCTTCAACCTTGGTAGGTTCTGGCCCAATGATACCACAACCCACAATATGTCCTAAGTATTTGGTGGTGCAGTTACCCATGTGGCACTTAGGGGCCTTGATTGTTAAACCTGCCTCCTGTAACCGATGCAATACTTGCTCAACGTGTTTTAAATGGTCTTCCCATGTGGTACTAAAGATTCCAATATCGTCCATATATGCAACGCAAAAGTCTCCCATTCCCCTAAGTACACTATCCACTAACCGTTGGAATGTGGCTGGACTATTCCTTAAACCAAAGGGTAAAGTGGTGAACTCATATAACCCTTCATGAGTTCTAAAGGCAGTCTTCTCTTGGTCTTGGGGAGCCATAGGTACTTGCCAAAATCCTTTTGTTAAGTCTAGGCTACTAATATAATTGGCTCTCCCTATCCTCTCCAATAAGTCATCTAACCGGGGCATTGGATAGTTATCAGGTTGTGTGACCTTGTTTAGGAGCCTATAATCCACACAGAACCGTATGGTGTTGTCTGGTTTCTGGACTAGTACAATAGGTGATACCCATGGGCTATTAGATGGAACGATAACACCCATTTCTAGCATTTCTTTTATCTCTCTTTCAATACATTTGGTTAGCTTCCCCGTGACTCTATATGGAGATGAAGCTATAGGGGGGGAGTCACCGGTAAGGATTCGATGGTGAACTCCTGTTACCCTTCCTGGAAGATCTGAGAACAATTGATTATACTTCTTAAGTAACTTTTTAATCTGGGTTCGTTGTTCCTGGGATAATTCTTCATCTATTTTTACCTGGTCAATATTACCATAAGCTTTCCTATTTCCTTCCCAGAAAGAAAATGTCCCTGTCTCTTCACCAGTTATAACCATATATACATTAGCAATCTTATTTACATAGGGTTTCAACATATTAACATGCACCAGTCTTTCACTAGCAGTCTGTTCATCAAAGATCAAGTAGTTGACACTACTGTGTTTCTTGATCACCTTCCATGGACCGGTCCAGTCTAATTGAAGTTTATTGGACTTTGCCGGAGTGAGATAAAGGACTTCATCTCCTATGTTGAAATTTCTGCATCGTGATGACAGATCATATCTTGACTTCTGTTTCTGCTGGGCTGCTGCAATATTGTCTTTGGCGATGTTCCTTGCCGTCTCCAACGTGGACTGAAGGTATCTGGTTACTGGAACAGGCTCCCGCTCCGGATACGCCTCCCAAAACTCTCTCACCAGATCAAGTGGGCCTCGTACACGCCTGCCATATAGTAGCTCAAACGGACTGTATCCAGTGCTTTCTTGGGGGATCTCTCTATAGGCAAAAAGAAGTTGCTGTAATTTTACATCCCAGTCATTTGGATGTTGTTGACTGTATGCCTTAATCATTCTCACCAAGGTCTTGTTAAAATTTTCTACAAGTCCATTGGTTTGTGGATGGTACGCAGTGGATGTTAAATGTTTAATGCCACATATCTCCAGTAACTTCTCCATTAGTCTTGAGGTGAATTGAGTCCCCAAATCAGATATTAATTCCTTCGGATACCCTGTCCTTCCCCATATGGACAGTAGAGCATTTGCCACTGTGGTAGTTTCTATATTAGACAATGCCACAGCTTCCGGGTAACGAGTGGCATAGTCCATCATCGTTAAGACATATCTGCTGCCTCTCCGACTTGGCTTTGGTAGAGGGCCCACAATGTCAATACCAACTCTAAAGAAAGGTTCGCCGATAATTGGCATGGGGATCAATTGAGCTTTTGTTTTGTCTTGGCCGGAACTGATCCTCTGGCAAGTGTCACAAGATTGACAAAAGTGCTTTTTTTGACCTCAGAGGCTGGTTGGGGTCAAAAAAAGCACTAGAAGAATTTTCATGGTTTATTAATACAGTTTTGGTTTCTTTGTTTTGCCTTCTCTTGGTGTGGAGTCTTTTGCTGAATTACATTTCTGAACTCCAGTTCATAAACTGTTGTTTCTCAATTTACTTAATCACATATTTTACCAAATAATTTGCTTTCTGTCAAACATTTTAAAAGACCAGGTAGTTACTGTTTAATTCTCCGGCTGCAGGAAAGACCAGGGTGATTTTGCAGCTGTTTGCTTTTTGTGCGTGCATGTAACCACTGGATGCCCACTACATTTTCATGACTAAGAATAACTTGAGGCAGCATACATAGTTGAGAATAGATTCTTACCAAATTGCACTGCTGTGCATGTTAAAGCTTCCATGTATGCTTATTTATTGGAGCATAGGATTGCTTGCTGTGTTCGTATAGTCCTTGTTTCCCCAGAGACTAGAAACAGGTTGTTGCATTAATAATAAAAAGAAAGCCTAATTATATAGTATCAGAACAGAAGGCATAGTTGTGTCTGAGCATATCACCAATATTTCTATGTGACATTTGTAGCTGACAGCAAAACTGTTGGGATTGAATGCTGTTAGCTTTGTGGCTAATATTAGGGCAACTGATTTAACCTTATGAAATCACATAGAAAAAGACTATCTGAAAGGGAAATGTTGGCAAAAAATGGCTGAAGTTGTCAACAGATCTTCCGCTTGATGCAATGTCCTCA